GATATAAGGAGCTGTTTCAATGACATTTCGCCGACAACTGCGCCGAGCACTTGACTTTATGCAGGTAGCCAGTGGGACATTGTACGAAAAGTCAGCACAGTCAGCACGGATAGTACGCGCAACATGATTGCAGCGTCCAGGCAGCTCCCATTCGAGCATATATGCCTTGAGCCACACACACACACACACACACACACACACACACACACACACACACACACACACACACACACACACACACACAGTATTATTGTATGAGAGAGGTTCCAGGTTGAATTGAGGAGAATATTTGTAATGTTCAGAGGTTGTTGTGTTTAATATTCATGAGCATATTTGTCATTGTTCAAATGATAATAAACAAACATATAAAGCATATTTGTCCACTCATATGTTGATAAGAGTATTAAAAACTTGAAAGATATCCCTCTAAGGTACATTTAGAACAGATAAAAAATGTGCGATTAATTTGCGATTAATCGCGATTAACTATGGACAATCATGCGATTAATCGCGATTAAATATTTTAATCGACTGACAGCCCTAATAATACTACAGTTTGGTTTACTAAAGGCTAGCTAGTTAGAAACAGTAGTTAAGTAGTTATTGTTGACTTCATGTGAACAAAAAATATATAATAAAATCGTATACTATATATATACAATAATAAATAAAAAATCCAACTCAATTAGGTCTATTTTAATAAACGATCCACTTGTTCAAAGTTCATAGGCCTCCGCAAACCACAAAAAAATACCCTACTAAAAAAAAAACTTATATTTAAATTAAAGGTGCAGTGGGCTGGTCAAAGTAGTTCAATTGTAGAACTATAGTGAATACAAACATAATGACTTTACCTTTATGTCCTAAAATAGTTTGTAGTGTCAGAAACGTTAGCAAAATGTAGCAATGCATCAGGGATAACAATTGTTAGCTAACAATAGCTACAGAATCCCAGTTTACATGTCACTGATGTTAGCTTCGTCAGAAAGAAATACATCATATATTTAAAGTGTGTGAATCCATCTCATCATTGATAACGTTGAACAAATGATATAACATTTTAACAATGGTTTTAATAAGCTTTTGCGCGGTTACTGCTTAATACTGTGCATCCACAACTGCCAAAAGAACAAGTGAGAATGTTCATTTATAATTAAAGAACTGGGATCCTGTGTTTTAACTCTCGGGCTCCATCTAGTGGTGACATAGCGGTACTGTCAGGTGTTGTGATTTAACCTGATTTACTCACTTTAATTGTCTTCGTTTCCCCCCCCCCCTTACTTTGGTGTTCGCGGTCAAATTTGACCGGTCCTGTTTGAACTGCTATTACATTAACACAAAAACCATTAATCATCACCACATTTCATTTAACACCCTTTCAAACTGTAAATATTGTATCAGACTACTGGTAGGCTATACATGAAAAACTGCAGTAAATATACAAAGAATAGACACTGAACATGTATTGCGTGTGCCAGGTGTGATCCATGTGGGGGGATGGGCACATAAGAGCGGGAAATGTGTCAAATTGTTCTGTGTGTGTTTGTGTGTGCCAGGTGTGATTCACATGAGGGGATTGGGCACATAAGGGGGGGGGAAACACATCTAGTGTGTGTGTGTGTGTGTGTGTGTGTGTGTGTGTGTGTGTGTGTGTGTGTGTGTGTGTGTGTGTGTGTGTGTGTGTGTGTGTGTGTGTGTGTGTGTGTGTGTGTGTGTGTGTGTGTGTGTGTGTGTGTGTGTGTGTGTGTGTGTGTGTGTGTGTGTGGGTGTGTGTGTGCGTGTGGGTGTTTGTGTGGGTGTTTTATCTGATCCGGATGGTTACTAATTCCTTTTCTTTACGGCGGTCATTTACCGGGAACACCATGGGTGTTACAAAGTTGACTAAATCATCCAAAATTCAATGAAAGTGAAAGCCTTAATGCAATCGAATGTAAAACAAAAAAGTTATGATTGATGAAAGTAGTAAATCGGTCAGATTTGACCCGAAGACAACAGGAGGGTTAAAAAGCGTGCTAATAAACCTGCCATTTTCTACAAACACAGTTAATTCTGAGGAGAGAAATGTGAGCCGTTTCGATAACAGTGTTTGCAGTAGGGGTTTGTTTGTTTGTCTTCTGTGAGCAACACTTTTATTTGAAGCAGGTGAAACAGGCTGCCACACCTTTTGGCACAGTATAACCAATCTTAAGCATCTGCATGTGATCTTAATTCAACCAGTTTCTATCAAAGTGTTGATTGCAAACATTTAAAATGTAAGAAAAATGATAAACACCCATTGCAATTTACTTCCACGCCATTTTGAACGAACTTCAATTAGCTAAATCAAACAAAAAAAGCATCCTACCAGTTTTTTTATTTTCAATCCCGTTCGTTTCCATGCTTTCTGAATTGTATCGTTTTTTACACAGTTAGATTTTGGTCCTCCTTTTACTTGATCATCTAAAGTTGCTCCTTCTTTCCATGTGCGCGATGAGTGAAGGACACTTTGAGTTTGGGATAGTTAACTCGAGTGTTAGGACAACACACCCAGAGGTGGCGACACAGGTACCTTTCTCCCTGGAAGTGAATAATGTTAGCACGCCTGCAAGCTCCAACACCGGTTTGACAAGCCAGCCCTACTGATGTCACAACAGGTTAGGTTACACCTTAACATAGACTTACAGCAGTTAAAGCAGGCCACACTGGTGTTTCTGAGCACCTGCTGACAGGTAAGGAAGCCTTATGATAATGCTGCTCTGTCAAACACTTCCAGGTATCAGTTCCTCACCCTGATGAAACTCTAGATGTGAGAAAGAGGGGAAGTTCACCTGAGAACCACCCATAAAATCAGGTTTTATAATAAATACTCATATAGTGTGGAGTGGACATTTCCAAGCACTTCCTTTTGTCTAGTTGGCTTTGGCTGTGTTGTGTTTTCATGCAGCCACCTGTTCCTCATTTGAACACAAGGTAAACACGATGAAGAAAGCTGAACAGCAGACTTGGCTAGTTGCCCGGACACACAGTTCACAGTGAATTGGAGCATATTGGTTACACTGAATGGGACAGATGATTTTTTTTTTTCTCCTCTCCTTTTCATGTGCAGCTTAGCCTTGGCAGGATAATAGCACTGCAATCACTGGTGCGTTGGGGCTCTTGTGACTCTCAGCACTTCCCTTTCAGCCCTGGCTTATCCTCAGCGCACTGTCAGCATCAGGATGAGTGAGCTTTAATGCAGCATCAGGGGGAGAGCTTCCGGGCAAAGACTGACCACTTACAACAAACCCCACAAGGTTCAGAGAAACATGCAGGAAAACATGTGCAACAGACTACTTTACTGCACAATAATCTCAAACAGGACATTTGGCTTTTGTCCCTTTTCTGAGTTTGTATCCTTGTCTTTGTCCGAGGTCTTGCAGAAGAACAAAGAACTCCATCTGCATGGCAAAACTAGTCGATGTGTTTTTGGTAGACCAGGAGATGACCTTTTGCAGAAAAGATCAGCCTTACAGTATATGGTGTCAGTGCATGAAATGTCTCACAAAATACTTCAATGCACTGCAGACAAACAATGGTGAGAGACTAACTTTATGGTGAAGTCTGTGCCTTTGCTGGATGTCTCTGCTTGTTCAACAAGTAAGAACAGGCCCTTCTAACACACTCCTACCCAGTGTTGGGAAAACTCCTTTAATAGCTTTATGGGATGCAATATAACTTAGCGCTGGAAGAAGTTGAAATACAGCAAAGTCACCCTGGGGAGGAATTTGGTTAAAGCTAAACCCTAGCCTAATAGGAAGGAGAAATTCAGATGTGTGTGATACAGGTTTATCACAAAAGATGATTGAAGTTACAACAATGGCACTCAATTGAGTTGATTTCAAAAAGTGATCTGTCTTTCACGGGTCCAAATCATTAAATGCCCCACAAAGAAAAAGGAGATTAACTGGTCAATGGGTTCTAAACAGTAGACAAGCAAAGGTATATAAAAAGAAATGTTGCTCCTTTTATTGCCCACAATATACAGATAACAACACAAAAAAAGGTAAAAAAGTAATTTAGATGCTTGAATCACTTTGAAAATATAAAGATGAACTACCAGCCAAACTTGGTTAACCTTCTACATTAACTTCACTAATCCCCAACCATACCATCCTCTGCTGCCTCTCCCAAAACATCCTCAAGTCTCATGGCACTGAGTCAGTGACATGGATTATGCAATACCTGGGTTACAAAAGGATAAAGCCCAAAGAGGAAGTAACATCGGAAACAATAAATACAAAGACAATATGTAAACAACTGTCTTTAGTGTATGAATATTGCATGATGAACGCTTTGCCACGTTCCAAATTACAAAATGGAAATTAAAGGATTCAATTAGCCTGAAAAAAAAACTTAAAGTTTAAGTTTTTTTTTGTAGCTGTGGAAATTACTTTTAGTACTTTACTGCAGTACAAGTTTAAGGTATTTGTGCTTTGCCTAAAAAAATACAATGGTTGTATAATAAAATCATGCGTGATAGACCACCTACTACACAGCATCATACAAAACAATTAAGATCAGCCATAACATCTATCTAAATGTAAATGTATACGACACTGACATATTGGAATAATGGCATGATTCATACCCCTTTAACTTTTTGAATGCAAGGCCTTTACTTGTAATTGCTATTTTACTTGAATAAATGACCAGAACACGCCTCCCACCTATTCTTTTGGTATTTCCCAGCGCCATGTATTTCCTATAGACTTTTTAAGAAAAAGCTAATTTGTCCCCTTCAAAAAGTGTTGTAATGTATAGGCATTAGCGCCCTCTATTGGATATACTCTGCACACTTACAAGAGAGGAACATAAGAATAACATGTTTATTGTCTAAACACTAAACTATTTTAACTAACCGGTCCATTTATTACTGTCGTCAACCTTTTTTGTATTGTGTTTCCGAATTTTAGGAACTTTTAGCAGACTTTGCCACACTCAACATGGCGATGTCTCCGTCCCTCTCACTGAGTTCGTACGTAACACACTGCGTCATTCGTGCGTAAGGTTGTGTTGACAAGAGCGGTAGGAGTTGTCAGCGGAACAGCAGCAGCCAGCATCACCGGAGCCGAATGGAGTAACCACAAATATATTATTCCAGACAGCGTCTCTGTTCCTCTGTAGAAGCAGTGTTTACACAGTTCAAACAACGACACCATGGCAGACGACCAGGCCTCTCAATCCTGGACCATCGACAGGGATGACTACGAACTCAATGAGGTGATAGGTGAGTAGCTTAGCTTGCTAAAGCTAGCACCCTAGCCTCCCCTGTCTCTACAGCGGCTGCCACTAGCCAAACTAGCCGAGTAGCATTGCATGTCTTTAGCTAACAGAAGGCCAGTTCCAGCCCGTAGCTACATGGCAGGGAGGTTAACAGCTCTGAAGAGTCTCCATCTAGCAAGGCCACATTATTTAATTAGGTTTCTGCTAGTTAGCGAGCTGTAGTTAGATGGCTGCCTAGCAAGTTAGCATGAAGCTAAACGGCTAGCTAATGCGTTTAGTCTGTAGTGCGTGAAGAGTCGTTAGTAGTTGGGGAGGGTTGTGCTCTTTGCTGAAGGTATGACACGGATTACAGTGAGCCATTCATGCTTTAGTCCAGGTACCGTGACTAATGGCTTTGATCAAAAGAGTTAAGACTGCATATTACAGTAGTGTATAATACTGTACAATTCCTTAGTCCCCGATAATAGAAACTACTCAAATTCAGCAAATTCTTCTCATACACATTTAGTTGAGCTGTCAGGCTGTGAAGGCTCCTACAGTGAGAGGGTTTCACACGTTATGTTGTTCTCAGGGAGTGGAGCCACTGCAGTCGTCCAGGCAGCGTACTGCAAGCCGAGAAAGGAGAAGGTGGCCATCAAACGCATCAACCTGGAGAAGTGTCAAACCAGCATGGATGAGCTCCTGGTAAGGACCTGTGTCAGTGTGTGGGCCAGTATCTGCAGTCCAGATGTTCTTTACGTCACATTGTTGGGAGTGGTGTGGGGTCAGATCAGTCAAGGACAGATCAAAAGCTTGATACCACAAGAACCACCAAGTACTAAAACTGAGTCAAATCAATAATACAAATAGATTGTGAATGAAAATTAAATTATATATTATTTTGAATAATACCATGAAGCACAAGTCCTAATAATTGTTTACAACACTGATCAGTTATAGGCATAAATAGGATAAGTATTAAGTATTAAAGATATGGCTACTTTTTTTTAAGTTGGATCTCTTTTGGTTGATGCCTCTATCTAATGATGTCTCTATCTAATGGAGACATCATTATATAAATAGCTTACTTTGTTTACTTTTTGAGTGTATATTCTTCAGATTTGCAACAGTGGAACTAATTTACATGAACTTAAAGGTTGAGTGTGTAAGATGTATTTAAACCAACAAAATACACCTGGTAGTGAGACCTTTTTCTTCTTCTTTTTTTTATTAGGATCCCCATTAGCACTAGCATAAGCATCGGCTATTCTTCCTGGGGTTCGCACTCATAAGGTCAAACTTACACAATAAAGCCACATAAAAACAATGAACAACTCATCTTATTTAATTAACAATCAAGTATAGTCAACAACCATTAAGTCGAACACAAAATTGACTATGCCTCAAGAACACACTTCTACTACAAATAAACAATAATTTATAACAGACATGAGTCCTTGTCTGTCATGATGACCTAAAATGTATATTTATATATCCTGCACTTTCATACAAAATAACTTGAAAGAAAATAGGTTATCAAAAAAACAAGTGTGTAGTTCTGATCTAACAAAAGCAATTCTTAGTTTCAGGTGAATATTCACTAATTCAATCATTGTTATAGATATTATATTAAATGTCCTCTAATACATTCCCTCTTTATCCTACACTCTGCATGTCATAAGGGAAACATTACTTTCTCATCATTCAAGCTCCATTGTTGCTTTCAAAGGACTGTCAAATATTGTCATTGCAATATACGCTATCTGAGTTATTATTTCATTACATTGCTCCCTTTCTCTCTGGACTTCACCTTTGTCATTCAAGTCTTAATGGCTCAGTGGTGATGTAATGCAGGTAACTCCACCGTCTGGGTCTCTGTTACTCCTGCTTTAGGATTGACTCTGAGATCCAGCATGACGGAGCTGCTGAAGTATAACATAAATATTTGGTTAGTGATTTGCTTTGTACCGCACCGTAACAGCTCCCTGTGTGACCGTGTATCCCTTTCTTCCTCCTCCGTGCAGAAAGAGATCCAGGCCATGAGCCAGTGCCACCACCCGAACATCGTGTCTTATTATACCTCCTTTGTGGTGAAGGATGAGCTGTGGCTGGTGATGAAGCTGCTCAGTGGAGGTTAGTGCTTTCAAGAACGGTTGCTTCTCGAGCCACGATTAGAATTTTAAGCGTCGTCCAAATTGCCTACATTTTGCCGTAATAAAGTTAGTTTGCTGATTTCAACATTGGGATTGAAACGATACAGAAACATTTCCATCAGAGAGACATTTTTATAAGGTTTTGACGCTCTACATAAAAATAGTCACCTATCCCTTCTTTAAGCTGCATTCACTTGGATTTAGTTTTGTTTACCCTACGAACCACCACCAGATAAATGCCAGTCAGTGTCCCATTTGAACTACTCGCCAAACTGGAGATCCCCTCCTCCTATCATCAGCATTATTTATGACGGATCCTCTGCCTCTCCCTCAGGCTCAGTGTTGGACATCATCAAGCATATCATCTCTCGCGGCGAGCACAAGACCGGAGTGTTGGACGAGGCTAGCATCGCCAGTATCCTGAAAGAAGTCTTGGAGGGGCTGGAGTACCTTCACAAAAACGGGCAGATTCACCGGTGAGTTCTGATGATGTGTGTGCCGGCTGCAACACAACCGCCGTGTTATCACTGCACTCTGTGTTCATCACTCACTCCTCCCTCTGCTCACTCAAACTTTCATCTCCGCATATAAGCGTGTGGCTTGAACTAGACCTCGCTGCTTCAATATTTAATACAGTGTAAATGTATAATTGAACAGGTTTGTTTTGCATAAATGCTCCGCTCAGGAACACTGAACTACCCGCTGAGAAAAAAGCCTCTAATGCCCCTTTCACACCGGCGCTTTTCCAGCTCCTGCTCGGAGCTGGAGCTGGAAAAGCGCCGTTTTTTCCTGTTCACACCGCAGCGGCGGCGCGTCATAGCTCCGGAATGCGGTTCACTTCCAGCTCCAAAAAATTGTCGGTCCAGAGGCAAGAGCTTTGGAGCTATCCGACCATCCGTTCGCTGTTATTGATCATTGTGGAGATACATGGGCTATACAGGTTGTCATGTCCGACTATCACAAGTAGAATCATAATGAAAAATACGCCGGTAAAATGTGCCTGTAGAAAACGGCTTAGCAAGTAGTCAGTTTAGCTTCGGTTGCTATGCTAACATCACCCATGTTATACCAGAGAAACTTTCATAACAGCGTTGTGATGCCAAACAGCGTCAATTCAGACTGACACACATTCACTTAAGGGGAACTGGGGATATGTATCAGCTGCTTGTGTGACAGTCAGACAGTGAATACTTTAGAGCCGTGTGAGCTAACCTGGAGCTAACGGGGGAATACACTCCCGTGGAAGAGCAGCACTGCAGCGGTCGGTAAATGCCGCTGAAACACATTAATAAACAATTAACCACGGCACTCTGGAGAAAAGTATAAGGTTGGAGAAGTCGTTATTTAATTTAATCTGGCTTCGTATGATTAAAAGCAACACGATCATCGACCCGACGCAGTCCCCGGCCCGTTGTTGTTGTGGGAGAAAATCAGCGACGTAAACTGTGACGTCATGACGCAGCAGCGGCAGCTCTGGGCAGTGTGAACAGAGCGGGAGCTGGAAAGGGAAACCGGAGCTGAACCAGAAAAGCTCTCGCTAGGAGCTAGAAAGGGAAAATCAGTGTCCAGTTGTTTCAAATGAACAGCTCATTTCAACTGTCTTGGTCATAGCTTGAAAATCAAGATGTGTCTCTTTGGATAAGTCCAATTATCACTTGATTTGCTGATGTTTTAATTGCATTAAGAGTATGAGTGCGCAGCTTTTCATTAGACGGAGAGAGCAGCTGCTGATTCTAACTCACTTATACCTAAGCAGGAGAGAAAGAGGGCTTGTGAAAGGTTGAGGCCGGGCTAATCCATTCCCGTCTTTGTGCATACTTTGCAAACAGAAATCAGGTGGATTAAAATGGGGCAGATCAAAGGTACATGTTCGAGCACATGAGTGAAGAGTTCATTTGAGTCACGGTGCACAGCCTCACCACTCCTCTGTGTCTGCTGATTCATTCCTACTAAGAACCAGAATTAACACACATAGCATACACACATTTTTGTAACTTTGCCTTACGTGAAACTTCCGTTGTATGTTTATAAAGTATAACCATGAACATATTAGAGAAACTCCCTTCGGAGGGAACTTTAGGATTTTAGCCTTAACATACCATTTACAGGCAAAAAAAAAACATAACACACAACAGGAAAGGGCAAACCCTGAAAAAGCATAAAAGGGTCTCTTTAAGGCCTATTATAAAGATGTATCAATACCAATCTATTTATTTTAAACCATGAATTAGTGTCTATATACACAAATGTAAAGGTGTGTGTATTCAATTTTAAGAACTCCCAATTGCTATTAGCAGATATGCCAATGAATTTCAATGTCATATAAATAAATGTTTCTTGGGTTTTTCCTAATGGTCTTAATAGAATCAGAATTCCTTTAGTAGTACCACATCGACAAATAAGTACACGACCATGGCTAAAAGATTAGTAACAGTTTAAAAAAACTAAGTGACAACAATAACATATTAAAGTAATGAGACCTTATACAAATGAAACTGATGGGACATTTCTGTCTAATATGTCAATACATTTGTCGTTTTTTAGAAATGACACAACTGATATTGTCTCAAAACGATGATTTAACAAGAAATGCACATGTGTGTAAATGTGATCATGATGATAATTGTTGCATCTCGTGTTTTGATTCTCTTGGTCTTCCTTCACAGGGATCTAAAAGCTGGAAACATCCTTCTTGGTGACGATGGCTTTGTGCAAATTGCTGGTACATTATTATTATTATTTCTGCAGGTTTTTTTTTAACCATATTTCTTTCTGTGCTTCTGCTTAGTTACAGCTTGAAGTCCCTTTGTAGACAGTCTCTGTTTGTAAGTTTAAAATGTTGGTACAGTATCTAGCTTAACGGACAATGTCCTCATTGTTTCAGTCTGTAAATGTAAAATGACAGGCCTTTTTTGTGGGAGATTAGTCTAAATATTTAAGTGGATTTCCTCTCGTTTTTCTCTCCCTGTCATACATTCCCAATCCTTCTCCAGACTTCGGTGTGAGTGCCTTTCTATCAGCTGGAGGAGACATGACCAGGAACAAGGTCCGGAAGACGTTTGTGGGCACGCCGTGCTGGATGGCGCCCGAGGTCATGGAGCAGGTAAAGGAGGCTTGTTTCCTAGATCTGTTTTCTCTCAGTAATGCCTGATAACCTCGGTGATGAAAGGATGACTGGGCAGCTTTGTTCACTCGCTTCTGTTTTTAATCCGCAGGTCCGCGGCTACGACTTCAAAGCCGACATCTGGAGTTTCGGGATAACAGCCATCGAACTGGCCACTGGGGCTGCACCATATCACAAATACCCACCAATGAAGGTAACTTTGTGTGTGCGCACTGGTATCTTACTGAATGTCAGGTGTCTACTTTCACATTTAGTGTTGCTGGCTACAGCGGTCTGCTTGATCAACTCAAATGTTTAGCTTTGTTTCACAGTAAAGATGATTTTAGACATCATTTTCAACGCAAGGAAAGAGTTCTGTAGACTGTTGCAGTGACTGGGTGGAAAAGCTAATGTCCTTAAGATATGATATGTAAAATGTCTGCGTTTAAATGTCTAAAAATTACTAAACTTATCTTCTAAATGTTATTGAGTTATGCATTTACATTATCCCACATTTTCCAACAATTTTAATACCCAGAGAAAAGGAAAATTTACAGTTTCATTTGGTCGCCTTTAGTTGCGACCAAATTGTCAGTGTTTATCTGCAGGAAGTGGTTTTGCTTCGATACAATTTTAAATCATTGTCATTCTTAAGTTTATAGTTTATCCAGATTAAGGATTTAAGATATCTTTATCTTAAAGTGGACCTATCATGCTATATTTGAATAATATAGTGTAGGGCCATACCTATATAAGGCATATTTATACTTTTTTTTTCTCAAAATACCAAATAGATCATGCATTTTAGCCATGCCTCATTTTGCTCAATTTGACATTTTTTACCCCTGTTTTTGCAAGGGCAGATTCAGTGAGAACAGCACCACCTACAGGCCTGGCATATGTACTAGAGCTTCTCCAGCGCTTTCGAACGGCAATGGCCGTGGCTGTCTCCTCCTGATTGGTGGAGTTGGCCCAATAGCCGTAGCGCCACCGTCCTGACGTCAGGACAGTGTTCAAATCTGGATCAGTTTTTATCAGATCCGTTGCAGCCCCTTTTTTAGAGATTTGGGTATGGAGGAAAATAGAGAGGGTTGTGTTTTCTGACACTTGGTGAGTTCCCTGGAACACCGGGGACACATATTCATGTATAAAAGACGTACAAAAGTGCATTTTGCATGATAGGTCCCCTTTTAATTATCAGAGAAAGTAAAAAAAAAAAGTAAGCCAATGTTAGCCGTTTAGCTAGTAGCCGATTCCTGTCGATTTGATTCCTGTCATTACATTACATTACCTGTCATTTGTTAGTCACTTTTATCCAAAGCGACTTACATACATTCAGTACTGTGGACAATCCCCACAGGAGCAATTTGGGGTGAAGTGTCTTGCCCAGGGACACAACGACATGCTGACTGCAGTGGGACTCAAACTTGCTATCTCCTGATTCGAGGTCTAGCACACTACCCACTGAGCCACAGCCTCCCTGTCCATTTGTTTTATAAAAGAGGGGACCACTGCAGATAATTTGGCTCCTTATTCAAACTTCTTGAACTGATGTTGAAACCCTGCCTGCATTTACCATATTCCATGACCCAACGTCTCTTCTCTTCGCCACCAAACTCAATCTTTTGGGGTTTTTTTCTATTTAAAGGAAACTACACATTATGCGTTTATTTCCAAATAAACTTTTGGACTCCATTTCTTTTTGTTTTTGATAAAAGTTTACTCATTTATGAATCAACATAATTTGACTGAAACCCACCTCTGTGTTTCTGCAGGTGCTGATGCTGACTCTGCAGAACGACCCTCCCTGTCTGGAGACAGGCATCACAGACAAGGATATGGTGAAGAAGTATGGCAAGTCCTTCCGGAAGATGCTCTCTCTGTGTTTACAGAAAGATCCAGAAAAAAGGTCAGTTAGTCCTCATGCCTTTTTTTTCTCTCCCCTCACCAGATTAAAGCGGTGCTTGTTTTTCTTTCCGTTAGATTCCCCAGTTGTTTAATGAATATAATGAAGAGCCTTGTGTCTTCTCTCTCCTATTTAGGCCAACTGCAGCCGAGCTGCTGAAGCATAAATTCTTCACTAAAGCCAAAGTGAGCCATACTTCACTGTTATTAAAATAAACTGAAATCTATATTTTGTGTTTCACAGAGTTTCTTGACAGTAAGAAATGTTTTTCTTTCTGTTACAGAACAACGAGTACTTGCAGGAGCGTCTTCTACACAAAGGTCCAACAATAACGGAGCGATCCAAAAAGGTTTGTCTTTACTAATATGAATGCACGCTTGTCTCTAAACCATTGTTTAATTGTTATGTTATTATGTGGACTTATTATATAGGACTGATTACAGCGTTAGAGGCGGGGCCTTGTTCATTCCTATAAATGCTTTTCAGTGTCGCATGAAGCCAAATATGGCCTGACTCGAGTACAAAAAAACCTGGATAAAGGAAAACATGCGCATTCTATTTCCTAAAGCCCTGCCTTCAATCTGCTCCATCACGCACCGTGTCGCCTTAGTCAAATGAATGGGAAATTAGGGAAAGTAACTCTGGATTTGACTTTTAGCGCATTACAACTTTAAGGACCTAATGATAAAAATGAGGGCTGTTCAATTGTTTGTACTGTTAAAGGTGGGGTAGGTAATTCACTTCAGAAACACTTTTTGTTATATTCCATGGAATGCTCTTAACATCCCGATAGCAATGAATATCTTAAGTGCTTTGACAATAAATACATAAAAAAATGTCATCTGTGGAAGCCGTAGCGCTGTAAAAAGCACGACCAATCATTTTAGCCGGCCCGGCTAAAATAACTGGATGGCCTACCTGCCTGTCAGCCTTCCATCTGTGCACAAACTTATCTCGTGCCCTCATTGGTCATGTGCGCGTTCGTGTGTGTTGGAGGAGGGGCTCTGTAGGAAGTCTGAAGGAAGTGGCAGATTTTCTCCGGTTGTGTACTTTCAAATTCTTGCGCACTCGAGCTGGTTTCTCCATTCTTACCTACCCTACCTTTAAGTAAACCTTTGTAAAAATGTGCTTCACCGCCCAGCTCACTTCCTAGAGGCTTTTTTATGAATTGTTTTCTCTGTTTAGGTGCGTCGTGTGCCCGGCTCCAGCGGCCGTCTCCACAAGACGGAGGACGGCAGCTGGGAGTGGAGCGACGATGAGCTGGACGAGGAGAGCGAGGAGGGCAAAGCTGCTGTGGCGGCTCTGCGGGTGAGACTCTGCATGCCTGTGTCTCCATACAGTCACCTCATTTAACTTGTTAGGCCTCTATTATGTGTTTGTCCATGCCTATTTACGGCCAACAGATGGTGCTGTAGGACTTCTAGTCTGAACAATTATTCTCCCTCCTGCATCATCATAGAACAAGTTTAGGTTCCCTGAGCAAATAATCCAAGAATCGATCATGATCTGGAGAATTGAAACAGGCGTAGACCAATAATCAGAGATTTATTGTTTATAAAAGTATTTCACTAAGGCAACCCAAGGGAAGGCTTCTCCACTCATTGAATGTGTATTTTCTATCTGCTAAGTGGACTTAAACGTTTAGTCATTTCATTTACTTTCATTTAAGTTCTTAAAAGAATATTGTAGTTTTTGGAATTAATTTAGTTTTTTATAACCTGTGGATATTTATTTAGTTTTTTAATTGTTTTAATCTTAAATTAGAATTATTTTAATATAAGAAAGTGCATAGACAGTGCAGAATTCACGGTGTTCCATAAATGTTATATTTTATTTATTCATTTTTCGTTTAGAAATAAAGCCAATTTGGTCTCATTTGTTAATATTATTTAATTGCTGCATTTTATACGATCCAAAAAACCCCAGAAAAATCTATATGCATTATGTTTCTGTCCTCCTCACATATATTGCCATCAGCAATTGGATAAACCCTTATGAGTCGACCACTAATGAGAATAAGTAGATCAGACACCTGATCAGATCTCTTGTTTGTATTAAACTCCAACATTTCTTCACACTCAATTGATGTCTTGGTGCGGGATGTAACTGTCTGTTCTCTAAACGGTGATTTCAGTTCGACCCTGTGTTTGAAGTCCCGTTGTGTCAAATTCCTTCAATCCTACATCAGTCTGTACATTGGGGGGATAAAAGGAGTATTGCATGTTGTTAATCCTGACAATCTGTCATGTCCATTCTGCAGTCCCCCAGAGTGAAGGACGGCTCCGAGAATATGGAGGTGAGTCCTTTTGTAGTGGACATGACTTCAAAAATCTTGATTTATTGTAATGCCTTGCTGAAACGATCTGCATGACTGTCCTGTGTGTGTGTGTGTGTGTGTATCCTTTTCATTCATGTTAAACAACAAAAATACCCCGCTGATTTATTTTGCAATCGTGTGTCTTAGCTTTTCCCGCCAGCAGATGGCTCCTCACAGCATCTGCTGCCCCCCGGTGTGGCACCCCAGCCGGGGGAGGAGGCTCCAGCGCCGGCTCCCACTCAGACGGCGAGCCCCTCACATGCACCCCCTGCTCAGGTAACAACACACTCCCAGGTTCTATCCGGTTCCATGAAACGCATAAAGATTCAAAGGCTTCTTATTGTCATACGGACACTATTACATTTTGTATAGCTGACACTTTGCAGCCAGATTAACTTTTAATAAGCCAAACCATTGTTATTCCTATGTAAGACAATTCTTTCCAAGTGTTACTTAGAGAAGTGAGATTTTTTTTGGGTCAATGCATTAATTAATTAATTTATTTATTTATGCATGACAGCTCATTCAGATTGAAACAGTGTAGGATAAATGTTCATCACAACCATAGTCCAAACCCTAAACCACAGAAGTTAGAAGTAGACCAAAAAGAAAGAAACCCTTTGCCCTGGTAAACAATGTAAATACTGACTACAGGGGTCATTTGAAAGCACATCATTCACATTGTCAGTGATAGGAATGTTTACGTTGTTGTGCTGTTGAGTAAATGCTTTTCTGTTACAGGATCCTGCTGCAGGCAATGCCAGTGTTCCCATCAGCCTCGTCCTGAGACTGAGGAATCCCAAGAAGGAACTCAACGACATCCGGTTTGAGTTCATGTCCGGCAGAGGTACGGTGGATCCTATATCTTCCTGTGTTTCTGATAGCCAGTATTTACCAGGCTTTAATTAGGAAAAACTGTGGAAGTCCGACAAATTGCTATCTCTCCAGTCAAAAGGTCTGGTGAAAATAATTCCCCCTAAGCACAATTTGAAGTTAAGTCGAGTCAGCAGCAGCGCTTCTCATTAATTCCAAAAGTGCGCAACAAGATGCCATCACTGTGAGGACAGAAAAGTGCTTGATTTTCAGTCAGCAGCCGCATGCCTTAATTATAATGTAATCCGCCAGACAGGCCGACATGTATTTTAGTCTGATTTCAAATAGTGTTGATGCTTTTCTATTCTATCTAAGAAAATGTAAGCCTAAATCTTACGGCGTAGGCTTGTATTATTTCTTTTTTCTTTAGAGTTATGCAGTCTCTTGACGGGACTATTTGACCGTAATTCTCCCAATTGTCCAGGACATTGAAATCTTCCCGGACACGTTGACCGCCACTGTTCTTTTCTAACAGAACCTCTTCCTAGCTTTCATTAAGAAGCTCACAGTCTCAGGTCTAACCCTCTGGTTTCCCTCTCCCGCAGATTCAGCCGACGGAGTTTCTCAGGAGTTGGTCTCCGCGGGTCTGGTTGATGGGAGGGACTTAGTCATTGGTGAGTACTAGGTATAGAGTGGTACTAGGTATAGAGTGGTGGAGGGATGACATATTTACCCGGAAATAAGCTGCGCATGGGTTCCCTCGACAAAAAAGCAATGGGATTTCTCCATAGGATTTTGGAAAATAGCTCGAAATAAGGTCTGTGTAAAACGAACCTGTTAGATAAATGCACGTTTTGTTCAGCCGGATAATATCCACATGTCTACCCTACTTTTATAATTTTCGAATCATAAATCTAATCGCCAGAAGCAAAATGCTAACGTTATGCTATAAAGGAACTACAGCAGGGTCGCACAACTTCAACGTCACGCCAACTTAAGATCCATATTAAAAAATATAGATCCAAAATTGTACAAGTTGAAGCGTTTGTTTGAACAGTTTGCAGGAGGCAGGTACTTGCTTTCAAGCAGAACAGGGCAAACAAACTTAGCGGGAGTGTTTACGTGTGCGGCGTAATGACGTACAACGTCCTCGACAACTTCTGTAGTCCTATTCAGCCACTTGTTAACAACCATCGTTTTTCAGACACGTAAACTCTTCATAAATCACCAGTGGGGTCACTGCTGATTTATTTAATGTCGTAGAACAAAAGGTGATCTGTCTCTTCAATGTGTGTCAACCACAGACCTTATTTCCAGATATTTTCCAAAACCCTATGGAGAAATCCCATTGACTCTGAGGCGAGGGAACCCGTAGTGGTAAAATGCAAACTCACTTCCGGGTTTTAGGACTCGTCACTGCACCACTCTATAGCACTGCATGATGGGATATCATCAGTGTCAAATCAGATAAATTGAAACTTTTTCCTGAGAAAAGTTTTACTTTTTTGTCTTCTTGGTTTAGTTTTCTGACTTCATAGCAGCAAATGCAAAGATCATGATGTTCTTTGTGATAGATTACTCAAAAGAGATGTTAAATATGCTGACACATCCTGATCTGAAAACATCTGCTTTATCATTTTATAATGTGCATGTGCTTCTAAAACCGGTTCTTTCCTGTTCACACTGATCATGATAAGAAGTCCTGTTATCTGACCTGCTGCTCTTTTATCTCCTGTCTAGTCGCTGCCAATTTGCAAAAGATTGTCGATGATCCGCTTGGTAACAAAAATGTGACTTTTAAACTGGTAAGTACACAGATGGAAGAGGATAACATGAATATCAAAAAGTGTTCATTATAAATCAATGAATTTTAATGTTTTATTTCCAATGTATTCTTCCAATTACATGTCTCTTTATCATAACACATAATGTGGCCTTAACTGTGGCAATAACATTTTAAACGGTTTTAATATGAGCTTATCAATTAAGCACCAATGTGAGATCTATTTTTTTGTGAGGCATAGTTCATATTAGTAGATGCTTCTTGTGAAAAGAAAAGTTTGAGTGATTTTAATAAATCAAAGTAGCTTAAACCACACCTTCAATCCTGCTTCACTTAGGTTTGCTAACTCCTAACGCTTGTTAAAGTTTTTCTTTAACCCGGACTGTGTTTAATGTTTAAATTATCTATTTTATATGGAAAACCAAAAATAGAATAAGTTCAGTTTTTAGTTAAAATGCATTGTGTTAGTTCATTATTTTATCTCAGATGAAGTTCAGACCTTAGTTTAACACTCATTTATAGATAAATGCCAGGGATGCAAACTTGTCACCTTTCGGCGAAATTCGCCGTTTTGATTCCAAAATAGGTCGTTTGTGTGATTCATGTAGATCTGCAATAAAAATATTTTTGGGGTATGGGGGGGGTCTGGGACCCGGAGTAATCTGCGGCCGCGAGCTGTTATGTGCCATCATGACACGCATGGTGTTCTTTTTTTATATATTATAATGAAGCGCGAGCACAAGTCTTCCTGCCTGTCAGCTCTGCTCATGGATGTATAATAAGGCTCTGCTGCTCCGGGATGAGGGTCTAGCTTCAGCAGCTACATTACCTACGGTGCGTTCGTTAATATTAACTGTGCGGTAGAACTGTGGCACAGACTGGACCGCTGGTTAGAACGGGGTGTTCGGAGCAACAGAGCGTGATGTGCACTGAAAAGTGTTTCTGTCGCAATATTATTTAATGAATCGTTGAGCTAGCTAACTAGCATACATTGTCACTATCTGCTAACGTTAGCTTTAGCCTTCGTTTTCAAATAGTTTCTTTCATAGCCTATAAACGGAGGTGGTATAAGTATCTTGTACTTGAGGAAAAGTAGAAGTACTCAGATCTTGTTCTTGAGTACAAGTAGAAGTACTCAGGTCTTGTACTTGAGTACAAGTAGAAGTACTCAGATCTTGTTCTTGAGTAAAAGTAGAAGTACTCAGATCTTGTACTTGAGTAAAAGTAGAAGTACCAGAGTGTAGGAATACTCTGTTACAGTAAAAGTCCTGCATTCAAAATGTTCCTCATGTAAAAGTAGAAAAGTATTATCATCAAAATATAGTTAAAGTAGCAACAGCAAAAGTAGTCATTGTGCAGATTGGTCCATTTCAGAATAATATATATGATATGTTTTATAATGATTGATCATGAAAGTGTTCTCAAAGCTGGTAAAGGTGCAGCTAGTTTGAATGACTTTGTATACTGCAGGGTAGCTTGTGAATTTACTCCAGGTGGAACTAAAGTCTGATTTAACACTTGATTATATTTCACATCATTCATCCACATCTGTGAAGTAACTAAAGGTATTCAATACATGTAGTAGAGTAAAAGTACACCATTTACCTCTGAACTGTAGAGGAGAAGAAGAACAAAGTAGCAAAACATTGAAATACTTAAATAAAGTACAAGTATCTAAAAATTGTACCCAAGTATAGTACTTGAGTTTATGAACTTAGTTACTTTACACCACTGGCTATAAAGATAGAAAGACAGCCTTGCACAGAGGCATGAAAATACATTTTCAAAATGCTCAACAGTCCTGCCAAAATTATAAACTGACTGCTACACAATTAAAATAAATGCTTAAATATATTTCTATTAGATGTGACTCTTTGGCGTTTCTGTTATTATTAACTGCTGCTTTAGTTGTTCTGACTGCTAAAATCCTCTGTTATTCCTCATTTTAAAGCCGATATTCCGTGGGGTCGGGGGGCTCGGATCCTTGTCACCTTTTTCATACCTGATGAGTTTGCATCCCTGAAATGCAATTCCATGGTAATTGCAATGGTGATTCCAAACCAGTGGTGGTGCTAGACCTTTTCGCTGTCCGTCATTTTGACGGACAGGATCGTAAAATTTCCGTCAAAATACATTATTACCCATCGGTCTGTACCAGGGTGTCCGCGGGGTCTTAAAAAGTATTAAAAGTTGATCAATCAATTTAGCGAAAATTAAGGCTATCAAAAAGTATTAAATGGCATTTTCCATATAACATTTTGTAGCTTGTTTTCAATGAGTATATCAATTGTCCAAAGGGGTTGTATTCTACAGTCTGCCTGAATGTAATCATTGCGTAGGTGTGTAGTGTGATTCTGTGTAGTTTATTTATCCCGTTGGATTTGACGTCATCTGAACAGGACATCGCACGCTCACTGCTTGATAGCGCGAAGGTCCGTTTACGCCGGTTGTTAAACAACATCGTTATGGGGAAATGCAAGTTTGCGTCCAAATGGTTGGAAGATAAGGAGGAAGGACAATCCACACTGTATATAGTAAATATGAGGTAAAGTGTGTCGCCAATGTAACCGGTTAAAACTCGAAGTGGCGATGAGGTCTTAAAATGTATGGAAAGGGTCTTAAAAAAGGTCTTAAAAGGTATTACATTTGACTTCAGGATTCCTGCATATACCCTGTGTACACAACTCTGACGGGGGGGGGGCGGGGGAACAAGCTCGTGAACTGTTAACAGGGGGCGGTTATGCTCGTGAACTGTTAGCGCCGGTGTTATGCTGTGTTATGCATGCCCACTGCACCTCGCGGGAGCGCGCGCAGCGTAAAGCAAAAACTCCTGGACATTTCAATGATTTGTACGCCAAATGTAGGTTTGGAAACGATATCATTTCCTTTTTGGCGGGCATACATAACACGGCATAACACCAGAGCCTCGCTGCGGGGAAACTTTGGCACTGTTCTGAGTTTGTAATAATCTGTCAAAATGACGGACTGCTTTCAGATTTTCCGTCATTGTTAAAAAAATCCGTCATAGACGGAAAATATTCGGTTAACGCGACCACTGTTCCAAACTGTTCACTTACTTTTTCTCGCCACTGTATAGATACACGTCATTGTTTTTTACAAGATTTAATGTCAATTAAAGTTTTCAAAGATTATACAAAAGTTCCAGTTTGTGATCATGTTCCCTGTTTTCCAGGCATCTGGCGTGGAGGAGTCTGAAATTCCCGATGATATTAAACTCATTGGATTTGCGCAGCTCAGCATCAGTTAAGTCAAGATCAGCCATCAACAGAGGACAGAAACTAATGGTATTGCACAGCTGCATTGTAGTAAATTCCAAGAAACCACTACTGCCAAAGAGAGGGCGAGGAAGACGATGATGATGATGAGGAGTCGGGAAGCTGGCAGGAGTGCAACACTACTGCAGGATGCATGAGGACCACATTGAGAAGGGGCTCAGTTCATTACAGGAATCACACTTGAAACGTTTACAGTGCGCTTATACAGTGAATGGGAGAAGAGATGCAATCAACTATATCAACTCCTAATTTCTTCTTCTTTCTTTTGCTTCATACCTAAGCACAATCCAAACCATCTCCTGCCAGTACTGGAAGTGATTGCCTTTTCTTTTTTTCTTTTTTTAAATCAAATGTGCCACAACACTCACAAGAGTGTCGTGCTTACTTTATATGGCACTTTATGATACACTGAAATTGAAACGTGTATATTCAGCCTTAGTTAGTCAAACTATAGATTTTACCAGTGTGTTTGGTGAAAATAAAATTGAGTATCTGTGATTATTAGGTGTATTATATTTACGCCTACCCAAGAAATCTTAAGAAAATCTCCCGTAACACTGATAAAACTAACTTAGAGACACACTGTAGCATAGTTTTAGTTTTGTAATTCTGTAAATTCAGATGGATTTTTATGTAGAATATAAGAAAGTTACCAGATTTCTGTACAAAGCAGCCCCAGGCGTGTGGTGTGGTGGTTTTGTCAAAACATAACCAAAGTGTTTAGGCTCTGACTGCACGGCTGAAACCATTCAAAGACACACAACGGTCAATTATAACTGCAGTAACAACCCTTTTTCAGATGGCGTTGCCCGAGATGTTCAAAGAAAGCATTATTTTCACAGATTTAGACCTGGCTTATATTCTTCTACTATGCAATAGGTGTTTTCTTTTCGCCACGTGTGACCACTGGCTGCTAATATTACTTCTCTTGAGATGAATACATTTACTTTTTGTGCTTGTACTGCACTAGGAGTTCACAAAGTAAGACAGGCAGCTTCAGGAACCTGCAGTGAGACTTACTTTCGTTATAACAAGCAAAGTGAAACATTAACAGGCACAACAGACAGAAGCGGGTAATGTTTGTCAATGTCCCCGTGTAGATGGGGATCACTTGGTCCGTTTACCATTACTGATCTAACAGCTGGGAAGAATCCTGAATGCTGGCAATGAAAGTTGAGTCTGGAGCTGCTAGTGTTACAGGCTGACAGACGATGAACTTCTGTGGAGTGGTGCACGCTCAAAAACTGAAAATGATCAACCAAAGTAAAATATAGTTTAAAGGGTCAGTTTACCCAAATTGCTAAAAAAAAGAAGTAATATTTTGTCACTTGTCTCAAGTGGTATTTAGCTGATACATCTGGTCTTATCTGCCTCTTATTTCATACAGTTCATGTATATGGAATGTAGTCATGCTAGCGGCTTAAATAATGCGTTGTAATGAGCTAAATATGTTTAAGATCCCTAAATCGTTTGTCACTGGTGATTCTTTGTAATGCGCCACCAAAATATCAAAAAATAAAAACATTTTGAATTGGTTTATGACCCAATAAACTAATACCATACACATTAGCCTCAGCTGTGCTTTGTTTTTAGCGCTAAGTAGCTAATGTTGGCATGCTAACACGCTAAACTAAGATTGTGAACATGGCGAACATTACACCCGCTAAACATTAGCATGTTAGCATTGCCATTGGAAAACGTTAGCACGCTATTAGCTAGTAGAGCCTCGCAGTGCAGCTAGCATGACGCTACACTTATCACAAATTAAATTCCATATACCTGCATTGTATTTATGGGCAGCAGGAATCTTAAGAGAAACCCCTAGAGGTAAATGTTTCCTATATTGGGTGAAATAAGCCTTTAAACTTCTCCAGATGCCAGTTATTATTCAGTTTGTGTTCCTTCTCACTAGGCAAGTTGTTGTGCCAGTACTGTAGTCTCTTTGCTATTTAAACTTTCACCAACAAATCACTGTCGTCACTCCCTGTGTAGCTGTATGGTTGTTTAGTACCTCGTGCAAGGCCTGCGACATGGCTCCGAGTTCAGGTACTGATGTAAATGGTGTATGTAAAGATGTTGTAAATGTACGTATGATGGCAACTCCATGCACTGTCACACAAACATCATGAGGTTTGTTTGTAACCATGTAGATGCATTGACTGTTTAAGTGTACCTGTCAGATAAATGGAACATTTGACTTGTAAATATAGATTAAGGCAGATTGAGACTGCTCATTTTCAGTACACAGTTGAATTTGTTTTGTAGTGTTTTTCCACTGTTGGCCTTTATCAAAGCATCACTTATGCACACATTATTTGTTTAATTGGCACCTTATTGATATGTTAACATGCATATTTTCGGGATTACATGCAGCTTGTAATCACACACTTTGTGCTTTGACGTCCTGATATGCAGTTTTCTCACCGAAACCTGTCCGATGCTAATGCATAAAATATAATTTTCATAAGACGGGCGGCACAGGCTACACTCTCTTCCCCCCTGTGTGTGTATGTGTGAGATTTTGGTGATAAAATGATTGATCATCAAATGCTTTGAACTGAAAGTCACTTAGATATTCTTAATTTCTTTCCATTTTTATTGTTTACTTTACAACATTATTCTGCCTCTTAATGGAGACACCAAATTATTAGTATCAATTGAATCACTTAATTGGCGAGCAAATCTTTTCTTTTTTACAGATCATTACATATATTTTTTAAATATCATTGATTATACAATGTGTACATCGACAAATGCATAATTTGAAGTGGAATATTTGTGATAAGATACAAAGGAGATTCCTTGGCATGTATAGATTATTGGAAAATGTCAACAAATGCAAATGATTTTTAGTAGCTGAATAAAGTCACATGATGGAATTCAATTGGTGAGGACAATGGTTAATTACAATGTGATGCCTCGTTCTGCGTGTTCTTTGCTTTTAACAGGTCAACCATTTGGTCCTGTGTGCTCACCACACATTCAGTTACAAAGGTTAAACATTTCGACTTGAGCTTTTGGAAGAAAGTGTCTCCGAGTTGGTGTCGCACTTAATCAGCCGTTTGAAAATGGTTAATTTTGGAGCGATTTTGCGAACTATTGGCGACTTTGGTTTGTTCCAGAAAATCATCCTTCTTGGGTTAACCCTCCCAAATGTCTTCATGCCCCTTTTCCTTTGTAGTTTTCTTTTTATGGATTCAGATCCAGATAGACACTGTAACACAGACTGGATCCTTCGGGCAGACTCTAACCTGACCACAGATGAGCAGCTGAACCTGACTCTGCCCCGAGAGGATGACGGGACCTTCAGCAAGTGTCAGATGTTTATCCCTGTGAACTGGTCTATTGGTTCCATCAGGGAGAACGGACTCAATGAGACCACAGGGTGCCAGAATGGATGGGTGTACTCCAGAACGCTGTATGAAGCCACCGTAGTCACTGATGTAAGTAGAGAATGTTGTGTGGTTTCTTTGATGGTGCCACTGCTCTACTGATTCTGCTGCTTTGCAGTTTGATCTCGTCTGTGACAAGTCGTACATGGCTGAGGTTGTGCAGGCGATCTTCATGTCTGGTTTACTTGCTGGTTCATTCATCTTTGGACCAACAGCTGAATCGTGAGTTACTTGAAAAAGGTATATTAGAAATGTGCAAAATGTATGAAAGCCTAAACCTTCAAACCACTGACTCTAAACTTTAGGTACGGCCGCAGGAGAACCACCCAGCTACCAGTCGTGCTCTTGCAAATATTCGTCATAGTTGCTGGTGTGTCTCCAAATGTCTACGTCTACATAGTGACGCAGTTCATAGTTGGAGCTGCCCTCGGGGGATATAGAATTAACTCCACCGTATTAGGTATGACTTGTTTTTAACCAACCAACATTTGATTAATGGTCAAAATCACAACAAGGGAATTTTCTGGTTCCTTTTCATTCCTAGATCTGCAGTGATTTTGGTGTTTAAATTATGTTTGTAGCTACAGAGTGGATTGGGGTCACCAAAAGGTCCTTTGCTTCCTGTATGAGCCAGTTGTTTGCAGCTTTTGGACAGTGTGTCATGGCTGGTCTGGTCTATGGCATCCGTGACTGGAGAAAAGCACAGTACGTCATAGGAGGAGCGCAGGCCTTTGTAACGTTGTACATATGGTATGTGTTACACTTTGTTATTTAAATGTTTTGCTCATTGCTGTATGTAGACAATTAAGAGAAGTTTGGAGGTTTTGAATTGTGTTTGTATGAGGTAATTATCAATAGTCAGTGGGTAGCACTTGGCACACCCTCTTTTCCGAGAAGTTATATTATATTAAGTGTATGCCATATCGAGAATATTTTAACCTTTAGCTTTGCCATGTCGTGAGACCAAAGGGCTTTTATCTATATTTAGTATTCACTTTGTCTTCAAAGCTACCAGACTCCATTTAAAAAATAGCGGCTTTAACTCGCAGAACACAAGCATTTGTTTTTTTGTGTCACAAATAAAATTACAGTTTTTTCCAAAGAGTCTGGTGGATTTAACAAAAGCATAGATCAGGGATGGGCAACTTGGATGGTGGTGTGGGCCACATAATTTATGTAGCCTACTGGCCACCAGTGGGCCGCAGATTCACTTGGAACACACACACACACAAATTCCATGTATTGTAATTATTAACAAATATACTAAGTCTGACATCTTCATTGACATTTTACAATCTTTCAGGGAACATCCTCTAATAAGCTCACTAAACAAATATCAGTTCACAGAAATATTATTTAATTTGTACAAGTGGCATGTTTGTATTGAACAGGTTATTTAACAGTGGAATAAAACAATTTTAAACTTTTGGAAAGCACGGAAAATGTGTGTGCATTGAGATTAACCATTAAGATGACATAAACATGAAGTCATGAACACTAACCCAGACATTAGTTGTCTAACTTGAACCAAAGACACTTGTAGTCTCTGCTGACGCACAATAAGGGGAATGTCAACACAGACACCTCAGTCTCAAATGCTCTCAACCCGCACTCTGCTGTTCCTCAGCGCCGCTCCCCCTCCTGAAAAGCGTATAGTAATCATAGATAACACGGCAGGGTCCGTTACAGTTTGTTTTCATCTGATTTCAAATAAACAAAGTCTTGGTTTTTAGAAAGTTGTTTTGCCAAATTCAGATGATAAACACAACCTTTAAGCTTGTAAAGGCATAATTACAAGCGGTAACTTAACGTCACAGCAGGCATAACAACAGCCGGCGTTTCTTGTGAGTGGAAACAAACACAATACACACAAACGCGTCACAGATTATTTCGCGGTATTTGGCTGCCGAACGAAATCATGTACGCAGCTCGCGACGTAATTAGGAGTCTAGTGGACGACAAGTAAAAAGTACTACAGTACTACTACAGGGTTTTACAAGTAAAAAAAATGCAAAATAATTTTTTATTTTTTATTAATTACGTTGTTTATAAATTAATCTGAGGGCCGCAATAAGAGGAGGTGGGGGGGCCGCCATTTGCCCATCCCTGGCATAGATAATGGCTTTAGTTCACTGTCAGAGACATTGTATAGTTGTTTGATGCTAAATGTAAAACATTATATATTCATGGGCCTTTATTTAACTTAAATAATGTAAGGTACTAAATTAGGTGTTGCTGCTGACCCCCAAGCACAGCACTACATTGCTAATCCCTTGTGCTTCAAATCCTGCCTGCTTCACCAAAATGGGGGTGTGCCCACCGCCATCTATTGTAGTTATTACACTGATTAGATAGGCTACTAAAGTCCTTTTAACCCACTTTCTGTTCAAACCTACCAAATAAACCATGTGTATTGCAAAACCAGTGTGTTCAAGAAGACTGTGTAATCCACCTTGTTGGTAGATCACATTTTGAGTTTGTCTCCGTTAAAGGGGACCTATCATGCAAAATGCACTTTTGTACGTCTTTTATACATGAATATGTGTCCCCGGTGTGTCAGGGAACTCACCAAGTGTCAGAAAACACAACCCTCTCTCTTTTCCTCCATACCCAAATCTCTAAAAACGGGGCTGCAACGGAGCTGATACAGACTGATACAGATTTGAAATTGTTCTGACGTCAGAAACAGGGAGCTCCGCCTTTATGGGCAACTCTCCACCTATCAGGGGAATGGGGGGTTGGGCCACGGCCACGGCCATTGCCGCTCGAAAGCGCTGGAGACGCTGTAGTACATATGCCAGGCCTGTAAGTGGCGCTGTAGTCTGCCACAAAAGCAGCGAAGAAGACTTCTCACAGAATCAGCCCTTGCAAAAACAGGGCTGGAAAAGAGCAAATAGAGCGAAATGAGGCATGGCTAAAATGCATGATCTGTTTGGTATTTTGAAAAAAACACTTGACAGACATGTTTTAGGTATGGCCCTACAATATATTATTCAAATATAGCATGATAGGTCCACTTTAAATGAATAACCGTTTGTGAGTGAATTCAACATTTGGATTGTGGTTAATCTTTTCAGGTGGATTCCTGAATCTGCAAGGTGGTTGCTGGAACAGGGAAGAACTGAAGAGCTAATCAATTGATACGTAGAGTCGCAGCAATCAACAAAAGGAAAATCCCAGATAACCTGCTGGACGAGGTTTATGAGATACAATTTGATTGGATTTTGTGAATATATACTTTATAAGCAGTGCTAGCATGGCTGTCGATTTAACAGTCTACAGCCAAGCTAACACTGCTGTGGGGCTTTACTAGGAACAGTGGTGCTTTAAAATTAAGGCTAACAGCAGCAAGCTCTCATGTTGACGATGACAATTATAATCCATTGATTTTGAAGTTGTTATATTTTCTAAGTTCCACCATTTTAGTTTAGCATGTTAGCTTGCTAACATTTGCTAACAACCTCTAAACACAAAGTAAAGCTGAGGCTAATGAGGGTGTTATAAGTTTCCAAGGTACTTGGTCATCAAACTAATTATTGGACAAAGCTAAAACATTTGACCTGTGGATGGCACTCCATTGAGGAGCAAATTCCTTTTTATGCACATTGCAGCGATTCATTTTTTGAATTAATAAAAAAAGAAACGTTTAATCCCAATTGCTTTTCAGATACTCAAATTATTATTTTTAAATGTGACCTTTATATATTTAATGTTCAATGAAATCTCGTTAAAAGTCAATTTAAATGTACACATTACCCATATAATTAAAATATGATTGTAAACAAAGGGGTGTAACAGGGCAAAGAGATATTGCCTATTGAAGGGATATCAACCCTTTATCAGAATGAATGTAATTGCTGCCTAATTCATAGAATCACTGCTCAAAGTTTTGTCTTCACTATATTAATCCATCTGCCCTTCAGGTCACCGGGGGACGGGAAGTGAAAAGTGGGGGAATCAAAGCAATTTTTACCTCAGCAGTCCTGGTTAAATATTTGTTAATTTTATCTTTCGCCTGGTAAGTTAAGCACAATTTGAAATGTATTTTATAAAATAATTGCTTAAAGGTTTGTAACATGTTTGTGTTCATGTGATTTGAAGGTTTTCGTTAAACCTTGGCTACTTCTGCGTAGTTTTGAATGTGGGTAAGTTTGGTCTGAACATCTTCCTGGTTCAGTTCCTGTTTGGGATCACTGAGATGCCCGCACATCTCCTCTGTATCTGGTTTTTGGAGTTAATTGGGAGAAAAAAATCCTTAATATTTGGGTTGTTTTGCCTCTTAACCTTGGCTTTCCCTCGAGGTGAATCCCTTGTCCTTTAAGTTCACTGCATGATGAGAAATGCATCTGACCATCTGTGGGGTTTAACCCTTTTGTTTTGTTTCAGACTGCGCTATTGTTATCACAGCCCTTGTTACCGCCGGGAAGTTCTTTTTGAACTGGGCAGGTTCAGTATGTTTGATCTACATTCAGGAGTTATTTCCCACTTCTGT